TCCTATATTAAACTTGCTAGCACAAGTTTAATCTTGGACTCCGGAGCAAGTTCGTGTGGATACGTTGGAGGCTTCATACGTTTGGCGCTACGTTCATCTCCTCAAAACCATCCCCGACCGTTCCTCCGTTCTCCGTTTTCACCGTTAAGGTAAATTTCTTACTATAGCTAGTAATTTACGTAAGTTGTTCTTGGGTGGAATCGAGTTTTGGACTATAAATTTTTGTTTTCCGCTGCGTTATCCAAGCCTCGTTTCCCAACACGACGATAGTCCGCTATTTGTTAATAAATGTTACTATGACTATTATGATCAAACTTGATAATATTCTGAATAAATGATTATTATAATAGATAATTGATTATCATTGATAATAATATTGATTATGATTATCAAATGGACGACCCGAGTAATTATGACTACATAACGATCATGATTTTATTCTAACAAAATAATAGTGTATGGAATTAAACGAATGAATCGTAAAGATAAAATTATGAATAGATATGTTTGTTTGACTATCTTGAATTAAATTATGATTACGAATTATTGAAACATAATTCAAAATGAATAAATTGATCAACCAGAAAATGATGTGTATTGTTAAGGATATCTTAAAAGACTTTAAGATATACCTATTAACTAATTGATGTTAAGACTATCTAGAAGACCTCTAGAATAGATTTTAGGATGAACTTATGAAAACATAAATAGTTGATGAATTAGATAAAAATGCATAAACGGGATTCGTAGACCAAGCTAGAGGATTACTCGGTTGGGAATGCCCGATCCAGTGTTGATCAATCGCTATATTGTTGTTGCCTTAATTGACTACAGTTAAGTGTCCGAAATCAATTGCCTTAAACTAATGATAGTTTAAGTGTCTGATTGCCTTAACTGACTACAGGTAAGTGTCCGAAATAAATTGCCTTAAACGAATGATAGTTTAAGTGTCTGATTAATAATTTCCTTTTAAGAATGTGGTTATGGGAATTATGATTTGGCCTTCGACTAAGAATAGCTAAGAGCATTATTATGATTTGGCCTTAGACTAAGTATAGCTAAGAGTGTTGTTATGATCTGGCCTTAGATTAAGAATAATTCAACATACTATTGAAATAGTATCAGAATTGAATAAAATGTGTTGATATGAACTGAACAATACCAAAAGTGTGAATCTCTGAAATGAACATGGTGTGCATGATATGAAATGATTTGATTTTGAATTTGGATTCAGTTTATATGGATGTTTGACGCATTAGATATGCTTACTCAGCTTTACCACTGAGCGTGTAGTGTGTTTCATTTGCTACACGCAGGTAAACAGAAAGAACAGTGTGATCTTGGCGGCAGATGGGGCGAGATTGTCGGGATGGATGTGACAAGTTTGAAATGATTTATGATATGTCAATATTAAATTCGCTTCTGCAATATTGTTGAATACTCCGTACTGTATAAGTTATGAAAGATATTATTGAGATTAATAAAGTGTGTTTGAAAAGTTTTAAATTTTTATGATTACCAAGTTAAATACTTTAGTCCGAATGGGGCTGCAGACATGGATGGATTAGGGTGTTACATTTTGGTATCAGAGCCAATGGTTTTAAAACCGATCTTCGAATCAAAATTTGATTTTTAAAATAATGTTGGTCACATCCACGACTTTGCATCCCTCTGCTCCAGGAAAGGTATGAGAATTTATTAGATAAATATTGACTTTGTTAAAATTCTCATTAGATAACAATTGTTAGTACTGAAATTATATCGAGCATTGACTCAAGTAGATTTTTCATACTCGGTGAAGAGACGAAAGAATAAAAACAATTGTGATACATTATCAACGTACTTATCATATTGCGAATGATGAAACTGATCTGCCTCGAAAAGTCGCATAGAAGTGAGACGACTATGAAGAAACGCCTAATGTCAAATAACATTCGTGAAGCTGCTATCAAAGATCCTCATGTGGACTGAACACGATCGGATTGCTGAATTGAACACGAACGTTTAGAATCAATAAACTTTGTTGTCTAAAAGTATCCCATTCTAATGTCTAACTCATTACGATGCAAATATTCGATTATATTATACGAATCGAAATCGTTCGTTCAGCAACAATTCCTTGCAAAACTTTGTTGAAATATCCTACAAGGAAATTGACGTTATCCTTATCTCGTATCTATGACTTATTTGATCAGCTTAGAGAATCTATTGTGCTCTCTAAGATTGACTTACGGTCAAAGATACTATCACATCTCTGTTAAAACAGACAAACTAACGATCAAGAATCGCTACCCTTTACTATGAATTCACGATTTATTCGGTCAAATTCAAAGAACCTACTTGTTAGAAGTTATGGATAGCTCAATCTTGTTGAATGAAGTGACACATTGTTATGACACGATTAGTGACTTAAACATCGATATAGTCTGAATAAATATCCGTTGTCAACTCGTCAAGAATCCTAACGAAGGAATTTCTGTTATTGTAGAATGAGTCAAGAAACCGCTCACGATCAAAGTAACCAAATGCCAAGCGATGGGCACAAAAATGTTCATACTGAACTATCCAGTTTCACACCTCTGATTCAAAGTGAACAAGTGAACTCACTACATGTTCCCCAAAATGATCAAAATATTAGAGGTCAACCTGATGCTATGCTACCTACCTTAATGGTGAACTTCTTGCAACAAATGACCAATGCCCCTGTGTTTCAACCACCTCCACCACCGCCTCGTTTGATCACTTTCCAAACCTTGAAAGATAATGGTGCTGAGGAGTTTATGGGAGATCGAATTGCCGAACCCCAAATTGCTCTTGAATG